AATGACCAGGATGAGGCTGGTAGCTGCAGTCCTTTCGACAGCCAAGATGATTTTGGTGACCTTGATCCGTTGGATGACCAGGATGTGTTCGATGGCAGAGAGCCTTTCGACAGCCAAGATGAGTTTGATGACAGTGATCGGTTGGATGACCAGGATGAGTTCGACGGCAGTGAGCCTTTCGACAGCCAAGATAAGTTTGGTGACAGTGATCCGTCGGTTGACCAGGATGAGGCTGGTAGCTACAGTCCTTTCGACAGCCAAAGTGAGTTTGGCGACAGTGATCCGTTGGGTGACCAGGATGCGTTCGGTGGCAGCAATCTTTTCGACAGCCAAGATAAGTTTGGTGGCAGTGATCGGTTGGATGACCAGGATGTGTTCGATGGCAGAGAGCCTTTCGACGGCCAAGATAAGTTTGGTGACAGTGATCCGTTGGATGACCAGGATGAGTTCGATGGCAGTGAGCCTTTCGACAGCCAAGATAAGTTTGGTGACAGTGATCCGTTGGATGACCAGGATGAGGCTGGTAGCTGCAGTCCTTTCGACAGCCAAAATGAGTTTGGTGACAGTGATCCGTTGGATGACCAGGATGAGGCTGGTAGCTGCAGTCCTTTCCACAGCCAAAATGAGTTTGGTGACAGTGATCCGTTGGATGACCAGGATGAGTTCCGTGGCAGTGAGCCTTTCGACAGCCAAGATAAGTTTGGTGATCTGTTATATGACCATGATAAGTTTGATGGCACTAAGCCTTTCGACAGCCAAGATGAGTTTGGTGACAGTGATCCGTTGGATGGCCAGGATGAGGCTGGTAGCTGCAGTCCTTTCGACTGCCAAGATGAGTTTGGTGACAGTGATCCTTTGGATGACCAGGATGAGTTCGATGGCAGAGAGCCTTTCGACAGCCAAGATAAGTTTGGTGACAGTGATTGGTTGGATGACCAGGATGAGTTCGATGGCAGTGAGCCTTTCGACAGCCAAGATAAGTTTGGTGACAGTGATCCGTTGGTTGACCAGGATGAGGCTGGTAGCTACAGTCCTTTCGACAGCCAAAGTGAGTTTGGTGACAGTGATCCGTTGGATGACCAGGATGAGTTCGGAGGCAGCAATCTCTTCGATAGCCAAGATAAGTTTGGTGACAGTGATTGGTTGGATGACCAGGATGAGTTCGATGGCAGTGAGCCTTTCGACAGCCAAGATAAGTTTGGTGACAGTGATCCGTTGAATGACCAGGATGAGTGTGGCAGCAGCGGTCCTTTCGACTGCCAAGATGAGTTTGGTGACAGTGATCCGTTGGATGACCAGGATGAGTTCGATGGCAGTGAGCCTTTCGACGGCCAAGATAAGTTTGGTAACAGTGATCAGTTGGATGACCAGGATGAGTGTGGCAGCAGCAGTCCTTTCGACAGCCAAGATGAGTTTGGTGGTAGTGATCCGTTGGATGACCAGGATAAGCTTGGTATGAGCAATTCTTTCAGCAGCCAAGATGAGTTTGATGGCAGCGATTCTTCCGATGGCCAAGATAGATGAATCTGGTGACCGTGATTATGTTGACGGTCAATGTGTTTCGTGGCATTGATCCCACGTGTTTGTGTTTTTTTCATTTTCCTCTGGACCAGCTACATTCTTTCAGTTTTCTTGTCGCGTATTTTTGGGGGATTTGTGTTAAGAGAGACGTTTTGGGGTGTAAGGACGTATCCAGGCTTTCATTATCACTGGAATATCAGAACAATCACTAAAATTATCGAATTTAAGTGTTCGATGACAGTGGTTTCCGTCTCGATGGCGTCCATGTTGAACGCGCTGAAGTTTACTGACACGCACGCGCAGTACCCACAATCCTTTGAAAATGCAACTCTGAGCATTCGTTATAGCCCGCAAGTGGCGCGTAATTTGTTTTGTCTTTGCAGTACGTGCATTGCTGGCGGTGGCCATCATTGACCCTTCTGATCTCCGTATATGCTTACTCCTTGTGTATACTAGCTCCATGTTATGACTAAATACTTATTTATATTTATATCTGTTCATCCAATAGCGCATTCAGCGCCAATTGCAGGATGGTAATGAGTGAAGGCAATGAAGAAATGTTCAGATTTAGCCTGAGGTGGGAGGAAAACCCATGATAAGTGTTTTGGGGAAAACTCACGCACTCAGTTAGGGACTGAAAACCCAATACACATGTAGCCTGAGCCGGATTCGTACCCGGACCGCATAAGTTGAAGGTGAGGAAAGAAACACTACGCTACCCTGACTTAACAGTATACAGTGACGTCATAGTCGTGGAGTTGCTTGTTCAAGAATAGAGGAGTTTTTACTAGCTGGGACTTAACAATAGTTATAAATATCATCGTTTTAATTAGTTTTTTTTATAAATTTCTTTAAAATCACTTTTCTTTGTAGACTGCGCTTTATGCATATATCTTTTTAGTGCTTTTTCCGTGTTGTATAAAAGCACATGAAGGGATAGTTTTGTCAATGAAATATATGACGACGTCATCATGGTGAAGCTCCAGACCTAGAGAGATACACAGAGAGGAGCTTTTACTATCTGGGACTTAAAAATAATAATAAATATCATCGTTTTCAATAGATTTTAATAAATTTCTTTAAAATCACTCTTCTTTGTAGACTGCGCTTTATGCATATATCTTTTTCCATCTCTGTGGTATTTGTGTATTAAATACATAAAAACTCATTGAAAATATTTTTAAAGGAATTTGTTATAAAACGTAAGACATTCTCCATAATTCATAAAGCATTGTCACTGAATTCTAATAACCTGAATATTTCCTTTTACTGCTGTGTATCACCAAATTCCTGTAGAAATCAAAACAGAAAACACCCGTACGTTTTTGTCAGCCTAAATTTCAGGTACTTTTGAAATAAAACAATCTTTTCATTTAGTGATTTTCAAAATGTTACACAGTGAACTGTTACTTCAGATCAGCTACGTAAGAAGCTTTTTTCAGTTGATACTTTTGTAATGGCTTCATGTTTTTCTGCGTCTAATTTCATTTTCGTTATGTGCAACTCATTGCTTGACACGCTTATCTTGTTTAGTAAAGAGGACCGTCAACAAACAAGGACAATTTACTTTATCTACATCTGTTGTCTATACATGTATACCAAACGATTTTGTTATATAAAATAGAACGAATACAAAGACGTAGGCCAGGGCAGAGTTCAATCCAGTATACAGTTGACATGTTGAGGTACCCGCGTTGAAGTATGTTGTAACTCATTCCACTGTTACTCGATAGCTTCATATTTTACCGAAAACATTTAAAATTCAGTTTTAGATTCTGCTTCCTGTCTGTGAATTTTTGGCTACTCCAGCAGCACTGAATTGGTCGTTTTGAAGCATGGCGGACTCAAAAGGAGGGCACTGGTTGAAGTGGGTAAATGTGGAGTAAACACAGAAGATTTGTCCCAAACCAAAGTGCACCCTCCCGTTGTGTCCACCATATTTTAAAAAAAAATTATCGAACGGAAGATACAGAATGCACACCGGGGCTATGATTTGACAAATTGACCAGTGTACAGTGCTCAAGTTAATAAATGTCGTAGGTATCTTCGGCTGTGACGGAACCACCCGGCAGCGGCTCTGAATACACACACTCCTTTGGGACTACAACGATGCATGAGCCACAGCGGCCGTTTTGTTTCCAGCCGTAGCCAGATCATTTACAAACCACTTTACATGTATCTCGCAGCGTACATTTACGTACAGGTTCAATCGCCGCTGCGTGGGGAATAGAGCTGCATGTACATGTTTTTTCCAGTATTGTTGCGACGCATGCCACCATTATAGGGGTTATTGGAACCAACAAAACAACGGAAAACAAACAACGCCCACTCATATTTTAAAAATACACCATGACAATCCGGGATTTCCCGCAGTTTTCGGGGAGTGATGAGAAATGATTAAAGTCCATTCTTGTCCATTGGCATGATTACTAATGTACGCGAAAATCTACACCAAATTTGGGAATGATTTTTATCGATAAGCACTAAATTTAGGACCCGGAGGTATACGTGCCCAAAAGAGCGGACAACTTTATAGGTAAGTAGGGGTAATTTTCTGTCGAAACCTACGAAACGATGGGATAATGTGTAGTCCTGGAGAAAACCTGGTCGTCCTGTAAAGGCTAAATACTGCCGGCTGTGACACATTGTTGAACTGGCAGAGTGTGTCTTTAGGCTGAAATTTGGTCTTCCATGAAAATGTGTCCTCCCAATATGGATGACCAACATACATTTCATATTAGGCCTGTCCGTATTGCACTACAAAAGCGCACAAACAAAAATCGTTTCAAAGCAACACCATTACCGTGAAGAACAGATCGTCGACGAGCGGGCGTGTGTGTGCACCATTGATTTGAGAACAGGTATGGAGGTACTAGGACGCGGGCGAGTAACAGATGATCGCCTACGCACACAAACATTGGATGTAAAGAGAAGTGTTATCTCTACTTGGGGCGTAGTTGAGATTGCGACTGGTGGTCAAAGGTATAGAGGAGACAGAAGAAGTGGCAACTCCGGTACTTCAAAGTGTTCAACGATGATCGCTGCCGAGTGAGACGAATAATAGAAAACATTCCAAAAATGCTTGATTCCTGCCTGCATCTTAGCCGGACAAGTGGGGCCAGTAATATCCCAGCAATACTTGTAGTTTTTTGCTTGCAATTAAATAAAAATTATTGCTGTGACCAGGAAATAAAGAGAAAACTCCCTATTAGACACACTTTTGCCATCGTAAATAAACTTTTACATTTTGATACACTGTTCCATTATTCATGCAAAGTTTGTAATTTTATTCTTATCCCTCCAGTACTCCAGTGTTCAAAGACTTGGTACGAATTTGGCTTAGACTGGCCAACAAAATGTTGACTTTTACTGGAAAGCTAAGTTCATAAGTAACAAAATGCGCTATTTCATCACAGGGAGTGATCGTGAAATCTCATAAAATACGCTTTTGTACAAGTGCCATATTAAAAATTATTCAAACAAAACACAAAATCTTGTAAAAAAAAACGGGTTATTTATTCCCAAAATAACTCCAGAAGAAAATCATTGAGGGCAATGACTGCACATATATATATTTAGGACACACAGCTTAATGCAAGCAACTGCGCAAACATTAAATTTGGTGTTGTCATGAGATAATACCAGGCACCAACAAAGCACGAATATTCAATTTCCTATACCTAAGTGCACAAAATTTTAAGGATGTAGATTACCAGCGACAAATTACAGCACCGACCACATATAGGTACCAAGGGGTTTCGTGGTTGCGAAACAGCTGGTGCGTAGCGAGCGTTTGCTGCACTCTGGCTATGGACATACCAGGCTTGCCAGAAAGCGGTGATTGGCCAGGTGTTACAGCCCCGGCAGTTCAAACTCCCGTGTCATTCCCCTATGATTATAACTTATGCAGGAAAACTTACTAGGTGTCTGCGTAATAATTATAAACATAACGAGCAGAGGACAAGCGATATCGATTAACTTCTGGAACATCCTGTCGACGCTACATAAAGTAAACTGTCCAGCCCCCATGTTGAGGAGCCACCCAAATTGTCAGTTTCTAACCTTCTATTATCGCACCCGCCGACTACAGAGCATAATGGAGTATTCAGTGCTTGTTGTGTGAGCCACAATAATGCTAGGTCTTAGTTTTAGGTAAGGTCATGGACGGGGAACATGAATACTACTGCAACGGATAGATCCAGAATCGAATGTTGGGGGGGGCAGGGACAAACTAATTCAGGAATTTCTGTATGAACACTTTGAACCCTCTCTGAAGGATTTGTTTTGTTTTAAAGGCTTTGGAAAGGAAGGCAGGTAAAATTACCCCCCAAATAGTATTTCTCTCCTTAAAATTTTAAAAAGAATTTCCCTTTCGGGGGGCATGCCCCCCATCTGTTTATGTTTTTTGCACGGTATTCTGCCAGTAAGGTTTTGTATCAAGACTGGTTTAAGTGCAGTGTAATAAGTAATGAGTCGTTAACATTTTTATATTTATATAGTGTTGGTTGGTGCATTGCCGCAAAAAAATGGAACACTCTTTTCCCAGTGAATTCATGATGCATGAACTTTTACTGTTCCTTTTTCATTTTTGGATGGTTTATTACAGACCATGGAAGCTTGGAATCGCCTTTTGACATCTGCTCGGGTCGAACCTGCAGACCTTTTTCGTCAGATACTGACAGAGGTCTTGGACGACCTCATGGACCAGGTTTCGGGACCATCAAGGACTGAAAAAGTCAAGCATTCTTTGCGAAACATCTCCCGGATGTACAAAGGAGGACTTTCGAGGGCCTCTAGTCAGTATCGACCCGACTGGAGTGACTCAGCCAACCGCTGCGCCTACGTGTTCCTGTACCTGATGCAGCATTGCCATCTCGTTTACTCCTCACTTCAACGCGAATCAAATGACATCATAGCTGCATGGCGCAACATGAGCAACATGAAAGTGTGCAGCATCGGAGGCGGGCCTGGATCTGACCTGGTGGGCGTGACAACCTTCCTCCGTGAGTATGGAATATTTCCTCCTTCGCTGGAGTGTCTGGTCTTGGATTTGTATCCCAACTGGAAAGACACGTGGGACACAATACACCAATGCATTCCAGAGCATTTTAGGGTAAAATACGAAAGGTGCGATGTTGTCACAGATGTAGGTCTCGCAAGCAATGCCCATCAATTCATCCAACAGGCTGACTTGATCACCTTGGTAAAATTCTTCTCAGCAGTATCTGCGTTCTTCCGAACGGACCAAGGACGATCGCGAGGCAACTTCCTCCGTTCGATTCTCCGAGAAATAAAACCCGGGTGTTTAGTGCTGTACATCGACAACGTGCATGACAGCGACACTCAGTTTGAGAGGGAATTCGCCTCACGAGTCGGCCTGGAGAAGGTGTCCCAATTTCGCGGTCGTCCCACATTGCCTTTTGATCAGTATTCCTTGACTGTAGAGAACTACTGCCGCGTCCTCGATTTCAAGCCAATGCGTAGCTGCAATGTCATTATCCAACTGTACAAGAAGGAAGCAGTTCAACGATTCAGTCGACTGGTCACACCCTTCGATTATATAAACTCTGGTTCAGGCCGCTTGGACAATATCAACCGTCCCGGCAGTCTCCAGCCTCGTCTTAGTTTCTGCCCTTCAACTGAGGGGGTCCCAATGTCAGTTCCCGCATCGCAGTTTGCTAGACCTGCGCTTTTTGGGTGGACGACCCGTTCAAATCAGACAGAGAGGAAGTCCACCCCTTCTGTAAACCCATACGACAACCAGCAGCGAGTGCCAATGGTTGTGCGTGGCACCAATGTCCTTGCACCTCCCTCTGGTTTTCCGCATTTCTCAGTGCAGCAACAGACGCGCTGGTACACGAGTCAGGTATGGTCTTCAGTTGGGTCACGTCTTGCCTGTACTTTCTCATCTCCAACGACCACGACACGCCGGCACGCATCCACGACACACCACGCAATTGGACCAGTCACGCAAGTGCGGGCAACAATTCCCCCTACAAGTACTACCCTTGATCATGGTTATCCAAAGATGGGTCTACATGCAAGCCCTGTTTTGAACCAAGTGCCGGCCTCGAGAATTCATCCAAGAATAACCTCGACAGCAGTATATTCGACAGCTACAATGTACTCACCTGTGAAGCTCACACAAACACCAGCCGCGTCTTGCCGAGCTCAACCCACCGATCAAGGTTATGCAAAGATGGATCAGCATGCATTCCGTGTGCAGAACCGTGTGCTGGCCTCGACTCCCGATCTAAGAACAACCCCGACCCCGTTAAGTTCTGTAGCTACAACGAGCTCGCCTATAAAGTTCACACTTAAGCCAGCCACGTCCTTTCGAGCTCCACCCACCGACTGTAGTTATCCAAAGGTAGGTCAACGTGCAAACTTAGTTTTGAAGCAAGTGCCCGCCTCCACTTCCAACTCAAGACCAACCTCGACGTCCGTGCATTCGTCAGTGACAATAAACTCCCCTGTAAAATTCGCGCAAGTGAAAGCTCCGAAGCAAAACAGCACCCCTCGGCCTTTGAACTTGAATCCCTTTGAAAGATACACGAAACATAAGCACCAGGTACCTACAAGTCCTGAACATAAACCAGTTCTAATGCCGGACGAGACTGAAGTGAGAGGAAAACAACGAGAACAAGGCTGTGATAGGAGAGCACAGAGGGCAGGGACCAATTCATTATTTTCGCCCCTTCCGTCACAACAGTTGACTTACCCATTCCTGAAGGAGACCAATGCCAGCATCAGCCCTGGTAACATGCACATTACCTCAATGGGTAGTACCACTTCCAGCTGTCTGACAAGAGGGCTACCTGTCGACAAGACAACTGGAGGAAGTGTTCCTTACATAAAGCGGGTGTCTACGGTTCAAAATCAGAGTGACAACTCCATTTCACACCCACAAACAATGACTATCGGTCCGAATACAAGTACGCTGTCTCGTGCGAGTCGATCCTCCTTAACCGAAAAGTACTTGTCGGCCTGGGGTCCTGATCCAATTAGGTCCTCTCAATCCAGAAATTCGACTTTGACGAAGACAAGCTCATCTACAAAAGAATCAACGGATTCCAAGCCTCACACTGACACCTTTCTTTCAAAACAGATGTCACAAAGACTGTGTCTACAGGACATTGCAAGTAATGAGTCGGAGAATACTAACCATAAGTATACCTCACCATCTGAACTATCCTCAACACAGCGTTCAAAATCAATAAGGTCAACTGGTTCAGAACGTCATGAACACCTGAAATATAAAGGAGCACCAAACACCTCCAGATTCGAGTCAGCCATTTCCCGATGCAGTGAAGCAACAGGCACAAAGACCAAATCGGCTAGTTCACCAGAACAGAACTTACCGCGATGGGGCTATATCACAGGAAATCGTCAAAGCGATGCCTTTACTGCCACTTCCAGAGTATCAACTTTGTCCTCTGATGAGACTCTAGGTTGTTCATCCTATATCAAACCGCGAGCANTAGGTCATCAAAACCACGTCGGTCATCTTACCATTACGAATACGAAGGTAGCCTACTACAGACGCTTGCGCTCCATTGCTAACCAAAATTAATGGTGCTTGGCAACGGTACATCTTGTTAAAATGAGCCAACGTGCACCATTGTATTTGTATAAGATTAACTGAAAAGGGTTTCTGCAATGGAAAAAATACACAACCTCTAAAATTCACCTTTGTGTCTCATTTAATGTCATTTTCAATTTTTGTCACCTCTTTAAATGGTATTTTGCTGTCTTGTTGGTTTTTATGCTAATGAACAGTTCCATATTCACGAACGAAAGTGATGTTACATCGCGAAGAAAACCTCATTGGTTAACATGAGTTGGTTCACCTGATTTTGCAAGCAAAAGTGTCTTTTTTCTACGTAATAATCAAGCAAGTAGCCCTTTCTGAGAAGTGTTTTCGGTGAGTTAATTCTTGTTCAACATTTGAACTGAAAAAACTTATGAATAGAATTGTCTTTCGTATAGATGGCATCACAGCAACAGCGTCCACAAGTGACCAGGCAAGCATGAATCGTTTTACTGAGTAAAAATGGTACTTTTCAATGCATCGCAACAAAACAGGGATATATAATAATACTCATACGCTGAAGAAGAGTATAACGTCGCAGAAGCATTGTTTCTGAGACAAATTCATAACTGCTACTCTTTAAATGATGTGTCACTTGTTTTAAGTCCATGTTATATGACAAATTCGATAGCGTTCAGAAACTAAGATTTTCTATCAAATTTTATTTTCCTAAAGAGGAAGAAAAATGGCAATTTTTGTATTAAGAGGTATAAGAAGATTCTTGTTTAATGTGTGATTAATGAAGGATTTATATTTCATTTATCGTTAGGTTTTAGTTACGAATATGTCATCATTTCATATGTTGGAAAGACGGTACTATTGTGGTATGTGGTTTTAAGTATTCCAGATCAATTTATTCATAAGTACAATTTGCTTCAAACTTAAAGGTCTTAGGTAACCTCAGATGCAATTCAATGAAATAAAGCAAGGTATGCGCCATGTATTCATTCAAAGAGGTAAATAGCTCATTAACCATTTTGTCAAATGAGAATCGGGGGCAAGTTGATTTGAAATGAAGATTATTTCACCATATTGAAGGACCTCTCACGCGTCAAAAAAAATCGAGGTGTGTAAAAAAAATCTGCTGCTCTTGCTGTTCGAGTTACCAAGGTATGTCAGCCAGAGAGTGTTTCCTTTCAATCGTCGCATAACAAATTTCTTTGAAACTAACCATGCATGGATTGAAACACCTAAAACCATTTATTCGACCCAATCGGGAAAAAACTTGTAGTCGACATTTTTACATGTACTTTATACAGACACGTGTGTTGCTTTGTTTTCTTAAACGTATACTTAAATGTGACACACACATGTATGACCATGTCATCTTGCCTTCACGTTACTGAAATCTATAGGCACGTTTCAAGATTCAACTTTTGGTATTCATTTTAAATCTATTATTGTTTACGCTTAATTTTGTTTAGGTTTGTTTATTATTTGTCAGTGGACTCCGCTGCTGATTTCCAGTGAACATGAGATTTTGGTTTATTTTTACATCAGAGTAGAAGCCCTGATTGTCTGTGTCCTATTCCGGTTTTATCCCATGGACATAACCAAAGATCCTACAGCACTGCGAAGCAGCGTGAATGTTGGCCAGTCGCCCCCAAAAAAGTGTAACGCAAGATGGCCGCTCATGGTATAGGGCGCCGCTTACGTTGGGTAAGGGAAAACTTTTGCTGAATCGCAACGCGTCTATGGAAAATACAAGCAAACCCGCGGTGCTCTACTAATAATTGCACCAATTATACATGCCAAACTACCCCGACTCTTTCTACCATCTCTCGAGAAACAAACAAATGTGAGAGAAGTCTTGCTTGGAGAAAGTTAAGCACGAAAGAAAGCG